AATTATTGCAATCCTTCTAGCTTTGATGACATTGGTGCCATTATCACAAACAATGTTTTTAGCCCTAATGTTCAATGATTTTATTGATTTCTTTTACCCCTATGGGAAGTAGTGTTGGTTGCCAAAAAACTATTTTGAAGAGGTGAAAGTCAAAACTAAAATTAAAAGTTACATGTCAAAAGTCAAAATTCAAAATTAGTTTCAACTTGTGGCGAAACCTATTGATTTTTGCACAGTTGCGAAACTCTCTAGTTTTTGGAAACCAACACTAATGGGAAGTGGAAGAAAAATTTGGAATGCTTCTTTCGGGAATCATTATCATGAAGCTATTTGATCCAAGGGTAATATTTGTTGTGTTTTATGATATGTTATCAACCTTTTAATCCAAGGTTCCATTCCCAACACAAATTAAATTATGAACTAATTTTTTAAAAGGAAAATATATCATGCTTAATGGATTAAATGTACATGGGCATTTAATCAATTACAAATATATTTATTATTGTTTAATTATTTACATTATTTGATATTACTTGAATAAAAAAAAATATATATATTAATAATAATGAAAGCAATTCAACTAGATTCATTAGATCTACTAGTTCTAATTTATTAATCAGATCATTAAGACAATCTCCCACATGTCTGGTTAATGCTCCATCTTTGCCCTTTCTTCCTGCATTATTTTTAAGATGTTCTATGACTTGTTTCCCACTCTGAGTTTCTTTTTTCAAGTATTCATTTATTAATGGATCATTAGGATAATCTCTTAATTAAGGTTTCTGGTCAAAACTGCTTCTATTAGTAGCTGAAATTGCCCAAACCAGTTTGGGCTTTGAGAAAACAGTTTGGACCAGAAACCTTACTCTTAATGGTATTCTACCTTTCTGAGCATTGATATCTTTCTCAATTCCAAAACAATTATCTCTATTATTGAGTTTATCTGAAACATTTTTAAGCTGCTTCACCCTTATTTTACTAAAATCATTATCTTCAGTAATCACTTTACCTTTATTAGCAATAATAATTTAGTTACAATGTTATTATTAGGTTATTATGATTGTATCATGAACATGATAATTCTTACTTGGTCTAAAACCATGGTCACGGATATCATTATGAATGTTATCAAAGTTGGAAAAATGTGTGTAAACATTGTGAAGAATATTACAAAAAAGGGTCCCTCTCATCATTTTCTTTATTTTCACTAATAAAAAAAAGTTTATAATTAACAGAGTGATGACGTGTAGCAATATTGCCTGTTCCAAAAAATGGTCAATTTGTAAATTGGTGGTGGGACCATTATGTAAAGTATGGTTTACCCATGCTGGCATTTTTTTTGTGTCAGAAGAGCTGAGTTGGGCTTATTTTCTTTGCTTTTATTAACCATTCATCCCCTAGGTAGAGTAGCTCTTAATGGATGATGCTTTTCAGCAAGAGTTTATTGTTTATTAACTATGGATTGGATTATTTATTGTAAGTGTTATGAGTCTTTATTAGTGATAATACTCTGTTACAAGGTTATTATTGTATTATTATTATTATTGTATCATGAACATGATGATTCTCACTTGGTCTAAAACCAAGCTCTTTTATACCTCTTTAGGTATCACAAACAACATGACCTTTACAATATTTTGTCCAATAAAATATGCTTATTAATCCTATTTTCTGTATACAAATAATTTGATTAATAATTTGAAGTAAATAATTATGTCATAAAATAAGTTAAAAATAGAAATGATGTAATGATCTACATGTGTATGTGACATCATATATGACGCAGAAGTTACATAGAATATCAAGATAAAATAGAAAATATTAATCAAATTTTCCATATTTCTAAATAATGATTTTACACTAATAATTCTTCTCTAAAAAATAACCTCACTATTGTTTTAATCAAGATTCGAGTCTCTTCTAAATGTATAAATAAAGGTGAAATTTTCTTTATTTGAATTTTTTAAAGTTGATAAATTGATAGATAATAAATAAATATCTTCTAATAATTCTACATAATCAACATTTTCTTTGATTTCTTTAAATTAATAAATCTCTAAATTCTACAAAATTAAAATGTCTCAACTATACATGAAGTCGAAACTATTTTGACCATTTGCAGATCTGGTCAAAATAGGGTCGAAATAAGGTCAAAACTGATTTTTACTATGTAGTTGCTTCAAGTTGAAACATTTCGACTGGGGTTTTAATTTCGACTTCATGTATAGTCTCAACAACTATCTTCTTCTTTGCAAAAATGTTTAATTCGAAAATTTTATTAATTTATGGCATTGATGATTATGAAATGAGATGTATTTTCATCTACAAACCTTTTAAAACTTGTTATTTCATTACATATTTGACCAATATCTTCTCTAACTTTTTCAAGTTTATATAATTTTTTTTTCATGTCATTAAATAATAGTTTGGTTGGCTCATCCAATTCTTGATAATGCTCATAATGCTCATAATCCTCATAATCCACATAAACCTCATAATCCACATAAACCTCATAACTATACATGCAGCCCAAAGTATTTTGACACTGTCATAAAGGGGTTACATGTGTAGTAAAGGGGTGTTACACTTATGTTTTTAATAATGTATGCCATAATTAATTTCTACTTTCTACCATCAAAATTGGAATAATTTGACCATCAAAATCACCAAACCAATTTGGGCTGCATGTATACTCATAACCATCAAGATCTTCAATTACTCCTTGCTTCTAAATAATTATTCAGTTCAATCAAATGCGATTCATTTAATTCATCATGAATTTTCTTAAGCTTTTTAATTATCCTTACATATTCATCTAACCTATCAAGATTTTGACATCCTATAAAGCTATCCAATTTATCAATCCTTTTTAATCTCAACCATTCCATTATGTCATCTCAATCAATATATAATTGTCATCTTCCTTCCTTATACCATGTTTTGTTTTACTACCATTACATTTGCAATTTTTTTTGGATCTTTGATTTGCTTTATAATTTGACTAATTAGTTCTGATGGTAACTTAAATGCTTGAGGATTAATTTCTGCATACTCTATGATCTCCCTTACCTTTACTAGGTCTCTGGCCTCAAATGGGTCTTTGCTAACATCTAGATAAGAAATTGCTTTAGCAATATAGTGATATGCTTGAATTATATATGCAAACATTTTTTGATTTCTTTTTATATAGATAGCAGAAATGTTTAATTTGAAAATTTTATCAATTTATTATTTTTCTAGTTTTGTTATCTGACATGCTATGCATGTCTTGCTTGTTTCACTTGCTTTCCTATTATCTACTTTGACAAAAATTTTTTTTTTCTTGGAGTTACAACACATAGTAAATTGATATAAAATCGAGACCTACATGCCCTTGTGGATATGCAAGCTATAAAAATTAATGCTATTGAAAATAGTATTAAACAGGTATCTGGAGAAGCAAATAACACATTCTGTCCCAGAAACACCCATAGTACACAACATAAAGCCCTCTCGGGTCTTGATTAAAATTTTATCATTGTGATTTAAAACATGTTCTCTGCCTGGTTCCAAGAGTAGAACATTAACAAAAGTTCTCTTATTTGTTTCAAACCTAATTTCTTAATATCGTTTGTTTTTTTCTAATGGATAATAATGATAATGTTATTATTATAGAAATGGTAATGATTTCAATATGTGCATACAATAGATATGGGATGTCCACCAGCAAAAAGGGGGTCTGAGACTATTAAATTGTTCTGTGTTATTAACAAAACAAAATTGGTTACACGAATAGTTTTGATATGTAAAAGTAAATATTTCAAGTCTTGTATCTCATTATTGTACTAGGTAAACATGTTCTAAATTTTTCACCAACTATAATCCTTATGATATAGATACACATTATGCAAAAAACTCAATTTTGGCCAGGAGTTCTCAGACCCCCATATTGCTGGTGGACATCTCATATGTATGATTAATTAAGTATTGTTACTTACAATTGAAATTGTACAATGTATACTTGTGACATATTTTTGATTGTCAATCCTCAAATTGCATGCCTTGTCATGCCCAATAGTTATATGATTTTGAGCTTCTGATAAAAAAACCCTTTTATTTTGATATACAACAGATGAAATTGCTTTAGCTTCAATTCTAGCAATCTCAGCTTTGAGTTTTAATATTTTTTTGTAGCATGCTTCAATTTCATGGTCATTTGTGTAACTGTTATCATCATTATTATTATTATTATTATTATATGGGGGTTTTCTAGCAAAAGGTAGCTTAAGTGCCCCTGACCAAAATTGAGTTTTTTGCATAATATGTATTTATATTATGAGAATTATAACTGATGAAAAAATCAGGTCATGTTTACTTAATAAAAAAATGAGTAATTGGGAAACGAAGAATTTTTTAAAATAATTTGCAAAATAGGTTTGAATTGATCTACAACCCCAAATTTTTATTTGCTACACGAAATTCGATAAAAAAAATTTATTATAATACAAACGTTAAAAAATTGATAAATGGACAAAGAATATCTTTATATGGATTACCTACGTGCTGACGAAGGTTGGTATACAAATAATTTTTCCGGTCTTCTGATAAAGGGACAACTTCAAGAAAATTTAGCTGTGTATTTTATCAAAATTAGTAATCTTCAAAAGATTATAAGAATATTCTTCACCAGATTTTTTTGAAAATAAACTATTCCAATATCAGCTGTCAAGCGAAAATGATGATGCTTTTTTATATTTGGTAAAGTTCTAAAATGATCTTTTAACATTGAATTAAAGTCTTTCCATTTCCAATCTATCCTATTAATGTATCCAATAGACTTATTATAAGGATACGTTCACAAAGACCTAATTTTCATTTTCATCAACACCAACAACATTTGCATCACATGATCAACAACAACAACATCCCGCTACCACACAATTGCATTTCCGTCTGAATTGGAACAATACCAGAGAACACATTCTTGGACAACTCGTGGTTTCCAAGATTGGACTAAATTAATGCACAGCGAGGCTTTTATATATAGTGGTAGATTCAAATCACCAAGAGGTATAAATGATGCAAGTTATTTAAATCCACCACGACAAATTTGGGTCCCAGTATCACTTTTCGATAATATTAATAATGGCGATGGTGGTGATGACTGTAATAGTCATATTATTATAAAAATAATAGCAATAATATTCAAAATGAAGAAGATTCTGATTATGTATGGAGAATGAAAATGTATCAAAATAGATATCAGAATGAAGTTTCTTTGTTTCTAGAAGCTATTCAAACATCTTTTGAAAAACAAAATTGTATTATGAGAAAGAATAATATTGAATTTCAATTCTCAGTTTATCAACTATTAAAGATTCTTCTGCCTCTTCTTCTTCTTCTTCTTCTTCTTCTTCATCATCTTCATCATCATCATCTTCATCATCTTCATCTTCTTCTAATGACGATAATAGCATCAATAACTGTTCTGTTTCTGCTTCTACTTCTTTTTTGGCATCACCTTCATCATTAAAAGCTTGTTCAAAAGAGACTCCACAATTGGTTTATGTATCTGATAGGTTTAAATAGAATTTGATTTACAAGATCCGTGCGTTTATCATGGAACACACACTATTGGAATATTTCAAGATCTTCTTCAAAACAATGTTAATAATGGTGTTGGTAATGTTGGTCGGAAAAGGATAAAGATTGAAGAGGATGTCAATATATTTATTAGAGTTCGTATTCACGCCTATACTAAGCCACAATTACAAGATTACTATAGAGGTTTCAATGCCGGTAATGCTAATAGCACAATAGTTTTAGTGATATTAATGGTAATAATAATAGTTTTAACTTTACTAGTAATAATAATAATATCTTTAATAGTAATAATAATATTAATAATAGTTTTAATAACAATAATATTTTTAGTTTTAGCAATGGTAAAAGTGTTGAACTACAACAATGTCCTGGATCATTTGAAAGATTTATTGATAATGACACATTTTTTGATGTTCAATTAACAAGATAATTGTGACGTTGTTAATAAGAATATTGATTTTACAAGTAATGATTCTAATTCTTGTCATACATCATCATCTCCTTCACCTTACACTTCCAGTCCGCCTAATATAAAAAAAATTAAAGCTCACAAAGTCTTACTTTCACAACGATCAGAATATTTTGATAGAATGTTCAAAGTGGTTATAAAGAATCTACAATGAAGAGAATACCAATTAAAAGCACATCACATGAGATTTTCTACATAATAATATGTTACCTCTACTCATTAAAACTACCAGATAATAATAATAACAATGACACCAATCATAACAATAACAATAACAATAACAGTAATCATATATCATTATCATACAAAATATTAAAAGAAATTTATATTAATGCTGATATGATGTGATTAGAACATTTAGCAAACTTGACTGCCAAACGATTATCATACATAGCAAATCATGATACATGGGACCAGCTGTTGAAGATTACCTGGTGATCATCAAACATTGCACCAGCTAGTAGATTGCAATTGAAAAGGGTAATTTTGAAGTATGCATATAAGAATTGGTCATTTTTAAAGACTACTGAAAGTATGAAAAATTTGATTGCTAACTCGTCTATTGAAAATATTGAAGAGTTGATAGAAACTAAAATGTTTGGTGTTTTTAATTGATTGATAGATGAATCGGTGAAAAAAAGAAATAGATTTTAGTGTTCCATGTCGAAACCCAAAAAGGAAACAAAATGGTCGTAAATGCGGTTGCAGCCAGCAGTTGCAATCATTTTTATATGACGCAAAGGTGGTAGCAACCATCATCAAAAGTTGCAGCCGGTATTCTTAATAGATTTATACAGAGAATATATATATATGTGCGTGCGCGTGTATATAATTTTTATAGAATGCATGTTATAAAAAAAATATATGTAAATTTTTTTTCAATATTTTGGTTTTTAGTCCTTCCTCTAAATAAATTATCAATAATTATTTGATAGTATTAGAAAATAAATTCTTCTGTGTGCTTGAGCTGTTGATCATTTTCCCAGTCATTCATTATCAGTCAATAAAAATTTGAACCCTGGAATTTTCCGATCATTGTTTTTGACAAAAAAACATGCCTCCTTTACCTTTAGAACTTTTAATTGAGATATTTAAATATATTGAAGATGATTATAAAGTATTATATTCTTTTGTCCTTGTTAATAAACAATGGCATGATATCAACATTCCAAAACTATGGAGAGATCCATTTATTTCTGAAGGCAGCACCAAAGTATTAATTAATTGTTTATTTGCAGAAGACAGAAGTTTTTTTATGTTAAATGACATTGGAATGAATTTTATATTGGAGAAGCCACCATTACATAACTATGCAAAATTTACTACAGAATTAAAATGTAGAATTTTTGGCTCTATGGAATTTCCTGATTGCCTTGAGAAAAGATTATTAGAATTTATTTTAGATAATTCAGAAGGTATCAAAAGTCTCAGGCCTTCTCATAACATTAGGAGCGAATTGATCATTAACAATCATAGATTTGGACCTTGTTTTAAAAATCTTTATAAATTAAAATGCTATACTTCTGATGGATTTAAATTTTTTATCAGATTAGCAAATATTTGTAAAAATATTCACGACTTAAAAATATCTTTTAAACACGGATCGGATGATTATGGTCTTGCTCAACTAGTTAGGAATCAAAATCAAATTAAACATTTAACTATAAAAACTTTATATAGTTATGGCAGCACATATACATCCGATGAATTGAAAGAAGCAGTCTTGAAGCACTCACAATCAATAACTTTTTATAAAAGTTCAGGGAGTATTATGAAGTTAGATGATTTAATCCCAACATTCAAAAATTTAAAATCAATGTCATTATTTAATTATGATAGACATCATACTACCAATAAATTTGCAGGTGTAGAATCAATTTTATTTTCAAAGCTTGAAGTTTTAAACTTGGGATTTTCTAATTGCCCTTTTTTATTAAAGCTTTCGGAATTCATTATGATAAATGGAAGCACTCTCAAAATTTTAGCAATTAAGGGTAAGCCACAAGATGAGATCCACATTAAAAATGTGATTCAATCTGTTGCGTCAAAATGTCAAAATCTGGAAGAATTGACTATTTTTTACAAGGATAACATGGTCGAAGAATTACATGAACTTTTTAATAGTTGCATTAAATTGAGATATATTAGATTTAGATCAATTGTTAAGGAATATAAAACAGATGGTAATAGAATATTAGCTATTTTGAATCAAACATTACCAAAAAATTTAAATACAATAATCTTTGAACATAAAGTTATTATATCTGATAGCTATTTAGAAAATCTAATGAATAATTGGAAAGGGCCTAGACCTCTTAACATAAAATTAGTTGGACATAAATATCAATTGGAAAGAAGTCTGCTTGATGAATCACTTAAAAAATATCAAGATCTAGGATTTTTAAAATATCAATTCATTGGATATTTTTAATATTAATATATCAAATTACAACATTATAAGAACTATATGGGGCATACTACAACAAAACAAATGATTTTTGGAATTTTTAACAAAATATTTTTTGTATATTAATGAGTTTGACTCATCTCCTAATTCTCATAACTGATTATTATCACCATTAATGATATATGTGCTTTCATAAGTGTACTCATTTAGCATTTCAAAGCTAATATATTAAATTAAAAGTTTTTTTTATTAAGAGTGAATTTCCAATATATTGACAACATCAGCTCTTACAGGGTAATAATACTTTCCATCAACTGATTTTATGCTGTTTATATGATAAATTTCAGACTCTCCAATACCATGATCTGTTAGTCGTAAAAATACCCAATCACTTGCATTTGTAATAATTCCGTACATGACTTTTTGCTTGCCAGCATTAATCTAAAAAAAAAATAAAAAATTATAATAGAAACAATTCAGATCAAGCTTGTTCACTCATAGATATATGGATAAAATGTACTTACATCCAACGCAGTTTCCATTGATATATAAGCTTGAGCTCTCCCTTGATCAAAACTTTCTCTTTTTGTTTCTACAATACAAACATAAAACTGGTTAAATTTAACAATAAATTCGACTCTTCCATTGGCTGGGACAATTTTTCCTTCAAGTTCTTGTTCAAAAGTAGTAGAGACATTACCACCCATAAAATCCAAAACAATACATTATAGTTGTTATTAACATAAATATAAAACTTAGTGATACAGAACTATAGTGCAAGCATTATTTGAACATACCAGAAGCTAAAAGGATTATAGGAGAAATAAATTCTTTTCTTTTTGCTTCTTTACCAATGTTTATTGGACCAGCTTGACGGGAAACCAGCTACAATTCAAGAATTTTATGAAAAAAAAAGTAGGACAAAAAATAATCAGATTTTTAATATAAATAATGGATTTTCTGATTCATGCTCATCTATAAGAAGAGACCATAAATCCAAATTTGGATTGTCACTAGTGATGCTCATTTGACAAGTCATCTAGTCAATCAAAAAAATAAAAATAAAAATCTCTATCTCCGTTGTTAGAACTAAAATGGAAAACTCATCAGATAAGTATTCATCCTGTGGCTGGAATTATGAAAATCGTTCATGGCCCCATAAATTAGCATGAACAGGAAAGACCTATATATAATTTAAGTTTCATACTGTAAAATAGTAAATTATAAATCACGGGAAACGAACATATAAATCGGAAATGATTTACATGTATCACGAAGTGAAAATTGGGAAACGATTATCACGGAATAACTCAACAAGAAATAAACAGCATGGTAGAAATTTGAATTTGATCGACATTCGTAATTATCACATTTTCATGTTACACATAAAATTGTAAAATCCGTTGTTAATTAATATTAACGTTTCTTTGTTTTTTTTTTGAACTTTGTTAAAAAGTAAGCTTTTAAAAATTATAATTGAAAAAGCTCCTTTTTATTATAGGCTACAAAGAATTCTTTCTATTTCTTTTTTACAAAGTTATTTTGTTTCTTTTGTCCCTTTTCTGCTTTCGTTTATCAACCATGTCAACAAATAGTCATTGTTAATTTTCTATTTATTGTTTATTATAGGTTACAAACTACTACAGTATAATGAAATTACTTTCATAATAATAATGTGCGACAAATTAAAATACAAAGATTTTTAAAATCTGTTGAAATGAAGTCCATTGAAACAAGGATTATACTGTATATTGTTTTTCTGTTTTTTTTTTATCAATCATGTCAACAAAACAATTTAGCATAATCTTTATTAATCTGACAACAAAGGATTTAAAAAATTTATTCAAATATATAAAGGCCAAAAATTTTTATTCTTGTAAAATCATTCTGATTGAAAATAAAATAAACTCTCAAAACAATCTCCTAAAAATATTAAAACTAAATTCAATAAATTTAACCTACACTACCCAGAAAAAAGTATTTGGACACCTATTTACATTAATTACCCAAAAACATACATAATACCCGCACATAAAATTTATATTATTTTATAGCTTAGGTTTTGAAGAATATTCATGTAAAATTTTATTTTTTCAGCTTATGCGAAACCTTAATAAATAAAAAAATACGAATTTCAACTAAAATTTTTTTTTCCATTTTGATCGTCAAAATTAAATTGGAAACAAAAAAAAATTAATATTCAGTTGGCCATCCTTCATTAGAAATGCATGCTTCAATTCTTCTTGGCATGCTTTCAATGAGTGTATGCAATTTTTCGTAAGGAATTTGCTGCCATTCTTCTTTCAGTGCAATTTCCAGTTCACTTGCATTTTTTGGATGATTTTTCGATTTTTTAATCTCCTTTCCAGCTCACTCCAGAGATGCTCAATCGGGTTAAGATCAGGCGATTGAGACGGCCATTCTTTTAATATTTTTACTTTGTTTGTTTGCATCCAAATTTTAACATCATTGGCTGTGTGAACTGGTGCATTATCATCTTGATAAAAATAACCTCTCCCATCAAAATCACTCTCTATTAATGGTAACAAGTTCTTTTCTAAAATCTGAATATAACCAAAACGATTCATTTTTCCATCAACCTTCACCAAAGGACCCAATCCCTTTCCAGAAAAACACCCCCAAACCATTATTTCACCACCACCATGCTTTACAGATGGAACCAAGTCTTCAATGTTATACCGAGTCCCATCTTTTCGCCAAACATGTGTTGGTCCATCATTACGAAATACAGTAAATCAAGATTCATCACTCCATATCACAGACTTCCATTTTGCAACACTCCAACTTCTTTTTCCTAAACACCATTTTAATCTTTTTATTCTTTGTTCATCAGATAAAAGAGGTTTTACTGCTGCGGTACATGAATAAATTCCAAGATCATGAAGATTCTTTCGGATTGTTCTTGTGGAAACCTCAACACCACTTTTTTTGATAAACTTTCTTTGTATCTGATCTAGAGAACTGCAATTATTTTTATCAACGATTTTTTGTAAAGTTTTCTGGTTTTCTTTATTTAAAGATTTGGGTCTTCCACTCCTTGGTGCACTTTTCATATCATCAGAATTAGAATAATGTGCTATAGTATATTGAACTGTGCTTTTAGGGATTTTAAGCATCTTAGATATCTCACAAATACTTTTACTGCTAGCACGGAGACCCAAAATTTTTCCTCGTTCTAATTTTGTCAACTCTACTGTTTTTACCATTTTTTAAAACAAAGATTGCAGATCATCACTTTAGATCTTGTTGGCCTTTTATTTGATAAGGTACTACTAAACATAATAGAAAAGTAATGTTTTGCATAGATACTCTTCGAACCTAAGGGTTTAATATAATATAAATTTTATGCATAATAATTATGTGGGTTTTTGAGCACTTTGATAAACAATTTTTTGTTCAAAAAATTTTCGATTGAAGTTCGGATTTTTTTATTTATTAAAGTTTCACATAAGCTGAAAAAATAAAGTTTTACGTGAATATTCTTCAAACCCTAAGCTATAAAATGATATAAATTTTATGTGTGAGTATTATGTATGTTTTTGGATAACTAATGTAAATAGGTGTCCAAATACTTTTTTCCGGGTAGTGTATCTTATTAATCTTATTCATTAAAACCAATCATGCCTAAAGCAAAAAACCTTGGTCCCTGAGTTATACCTGAATGTAATTATGAAAATGCACGTAGATTTAGAAAGATGACCAGTCTTGCAATTGAAAAAATAAAAACTAAACATCCAGAAGGTAGTTACAACTTCATAGAAGAAGGAAATGAACTTTGCCATGAGCATTATATGAAAATTGTTGAGTCAGATATACATGAAAAATACCAAAATAAATCATTAGAGATTGCCCAAACTACAATCAATGATTTATCTGGTGAGTCTGAATCAAGAAAAGATGAATTAGATTGGACCAGAATTAAAATCAATTTAGTTGATGATAATGTCATTTTATCTAAAGATGATTTTAGAGGCATAATTACTCATATTAATAACCTGGAGCTACAGATTAATGAAAATTCATATTATATTGATGAATGTAATGATGATTTCGATGTAATTAATGAAATTAGCAATGGTAACTTGCCTATTCTATATTTTTATTGTATAATTAATTATTAAAAAAATAATCATTAATTTTATTAATATACTATATTGAATTTAATAGAAAATAATTTATTTGCAACAAAAATCAAAATACTAAGTAAAGCACTTTACCAACAACAAAGAACATTAAAAGATAAAATTGAACTAGACCCAATTAAATTTTCTGAAATGATTGAACAATTTGATTCAAGGCTTCATGGGTTTTTTGATGAAATGGTGGATGCTCTAATTCCAGAGAGAAGAACAGATGATAATAAGGAAACTGCTAAAAGGTCTATTGTAATATTTTGTTATTTGTTAGTTGGACTGCGAAATAAGTTTACAAATTCTATAAAACTTGATCTTGGACTATAACTTGCTGGGTCAGGAACAAGTAGTAATGCAATTGACATGCTTTCAAGAATTGGAATAACAACTTCATACAAAACTATTGAAAACTACAAAAAACAGCTTGCAAATACTCACCCCCAAAAAATAAATGAGTATTTTAATATAAATGTAAGTTAATTTCATTATACTATGGGTTGATTCTTTAAAATAAATTTATTAACACATACATCATTTCCTTTAGATGGATTCTTTATTCTGTTTTAACATTGATGATTATCATTCTTTTCATGGATGGAGGGTGCCTAATACTACAACACTTTCAACAGCAAATCATATGGCTACCTGTGTTTCCAAGCTGATAGAAAATTGTTGTCCAGTACCTGCAGTTCATAATAATATGTTTATTCATAACCCTTTAAATATTGAAGCCTCAAAAATAAACCGTCATCTATTAAATGAATTCAAGGGGATGTTTGAGATTAGTTATAATATGCGTAAAGCAAAATGGATTACAGAAAATCCACAAAGTTTTAATGAATTTAATAGAATTGGTCTTCTTCTTGTTCATTTTTATGATGCTTCAATTTTAGAAAGACATCATTAAAGATCCATGAAAGGTGTTCGTATTGTTGAAGTACAAGAAAGAAATCTGCATTCTCTAGATGATTATGTTCAAGTTCTTTTATCAATTAGTAAAATAGAAAGTATTTCGGAATATTTGAAAAATAATATAATACCTGTTTCTGCTGACTGGCCAGGTCAATTATTTATCAGAAAAGCAATAACTAAAATTCAACAACAGGAAATGCAAGGCAACTTTGATAATTATAATATTATCAAAAATTTTGTTCCATTAATAGGACCATTACATGTGTCCTTGAATTCAAGAGAACATATTATAAAAATACATTAGGAATTTTTTAATAAATTATTTCATTATGTTTTTGGACCCAAAAAAATTCTAGCAAAAAAACCCAAACCTTGGAGAGTCAACCTTCTATTAGACCTTGCAGATAAAGGGTGGAAGAAAATTTCACATATTGTTGTAAATAAATTTCCTAAAATTTGTAAAGACCTAGAATACAGATTAATGCTCGATTTATTAGATAACCTGATACCATCTATATTAGACATCTATGCTCTTTTATTTAGATCTGGCTCATTTGATGAATATTTAGAAACACTCTTCCGTATCTGGACTTTTGCATTAAGGTGGAATCGAAAAAATTATAATAAAGCTCCCTTGGCCT